ACAATAAGGTAGCAGGATTGCAGGAAAAGGAGAACTTTATTGTATTAATTCGCTGTTACTGTTCTTATGCTGCCATAATAGCCATATTATCTACATCTCGCGACTACCAAAAACATTCTTTCAGATAGGGAACTAGGGTATAGGAATGTATGAAGGGAAAAGGGGGAAATAAGATAGAAGGATGGGGGGAAAAAAAAAAACTTGACTTGTTTGAATAATGTTTTTGGATATTGAATGCTGTGCATATTACATGATCCTGTTGTACTATGAAAAACTAATGTAACACTGCCGCAATCAACATACCGCTAATAAAGAAATTTATAAAAAAGAAAAGGAGAACTTTACTTAGTATGCCCCCTATTGGAAGAAGTATTGCTCAAGCAGGAAAATAACACCATGTAATATTACTTTGAGGCAAAGTCCAGAGTGGTGTTATACAGGTAGGTATAGAGCAGAGAGGTTGTATGGATTAAGCAGGTATCAATCAGGATGGCAGGATAAAGCCGGATAGTTGAGAAGTTCAGGTTGGTATTGTGCAGATTGGAAGTCAAGCAGGAAAGCAGAGTTGTTCAGGCTGGTATGGAGCAGGTTGGTATGGAGCTGGTTTGAAGTCAAGAATGTAAGTCCACAGGTTAGTTCACAGGAGCCAGGATCTGAAGTGTTTCAGGCAAATCAACAACTTCATTGTAAAGGGCATGTGGTGAGTTGGGTGTAGCCTTTTGTAGCTGAAGTAAAAAAAAACCTAGGCAGGTGAGTTTCCAGAACTAGAGGCAAGGAAGGCCACTAGTGGTAAAAGAGCAGGAACTTTGTTTTAAAGGAACAGAATAAACGGAACTAAAGTCTTGTTTGTCAGGATAGGATCATGACATTACCTTTCAACCCCTTCCATGTGTCAATCCCCCCCGATCTCTTCCATGTGTCAGTCCCCATACCCATCTGTACCTGCTCTTGTCCATGTAGCGTGGCCGAGTGGACCATGTTACCCGATCTGACAGGAAGTGCTCTCAGTGAGAACTTCCTGTCAGACCGGGTAGATGGAAACATAGGCCCCTTTACCTGCCGTCAGCTTGGCCACGCTACTTGTTGTGACCGACAGAAGGGTAACGCTGTGCACTCCACTCTTGCTGGTTACCCTGGAGTGATGGTCCCAGTACTAGCGACCGTGGTAGTTACGCCACTATTAGAAACACAACTGTGCCCTAGTGTATCTGTACCCTACACTTATAGTGGGCCAACCTCCCTCAGCCCAATAATGTCAATTTCCCAAAACAAGACACTTCAAGCTAGTTATCCCCAATACTGAACTAACTCAGAGCCAAAAAAAAAATAGAGCATTTGGAGGAGAACATGTTAGATTAGTTTAGTTTATTTTAGTTTATGGTGCTAGAAGCCCCCTGGTGCCATCCCAGTTTTGAACATTTTGTACACTTGCCTGGCTTCCATGGGCAACTGGGATCTGGTCCTCTTTGCATCTGGTCCCCAGATGTTCTTGGCCTTCAACTTCCAAAATTCTATAAGGCCAGAGACATGGGAGCTATAGGTCAGGAACACCTGGGAGGTTGTAGTTTGTGATGCCAGCTTTAGATGAAGTAGGCAGAGCCATTGCTACACATACAAATGTGCACTCATGGTTGCAGATCTATTCACAAAAGTTTGCGGGAAGCTATCTGTCAACAGTTAGGCATTATTTGCAAGCTTAGGCAGCGGATTACATTATTTTATGTGACAAATAACACTGCTGTAAAGTGCTGAACTACAAATCAACTTATCACACTGAAAACAAAAACAATAGTGTAAGACAAAATAGGGGTCAGGGGTCATCTATGTCCTAATCTAATTTGTGCAGAGCTTAATGCAGGAAGCTGCAATTCTGGGATTTTACAGCAAATGCAAAACAATTTTAAAAGTGAGTATGTTTTTATTTTAATTTTAATTTATTTTTGCAGCTTCTTGTGTCCCTTTTATAAATAACCCCACTGGTGTATTACTTTACTATGGAATGTGATTTTAGATTTTACCCTGCACACATCATGTAATCCAGCTCAATTTGTAATACCTTTGGACATTCCTTGTTATTCCTTGTTATTGTGTCAGCCCTGCTATTATTCTATTATTTGTTATAAATGAATTAAATATATATTATGTTGTAATGCAATTAATGCACTGTGTTATAATTTCAAAAGAAATAGAGTTATTATGAAATAATAATAATATTCTGGCTGTAATTTTTCATGGCCTATATTTAGTGCATACAGCAACTCTGGGGGGAAATAAAATGAGCTCTTTGTGTTAAACTGCATGTTCAAGAGCGATCTAAAATCTCACTATGCAGAAATCTCTCACCACCTATATTCATGAAAATCTAGAGGCGACCCAGAGGAGACAGCTGGTACTTGCAGCTCTGTCCTGGGACTTAATTAGTTTTGAGCAGCAAAACTGCAGCAGAAGAGGGAGGAAGTACAGTACTGCAGTGAGAGCTTAGAGCTTTGGGTAATTGAACAAGGGGACAGGAGTTTATTAAGCAGATGAGCATGAATGTAACCATAGCATCTAACAGAGGAGAATCATACATGGAGAGTGAAGTTAAACACTGATAGAGCTATAAATAGATTTACATGTAGACAATTCTCCGGACTATATGTTTAAAGATGAATCTAATCCTTGGTTATGGAGCAATATGGAAAATCTGACCTTGACATCCCAGCCATACTCTGAGAATTCTAAGTTATGAAACCTGCATCATTCTAAGCTACTATATAGCACTAATTAAACATATGCCAGTAAATCCATGGCTTGTGAGGATGAATAAGCAAGCTTTGTGAAGGAATGAGAATCTTTGAGAAGGGGAGGTTGAAGGATGGAAATTAAAAGGCTGAGGAAAAGCATGTTAGAAATTGAAAGTGTGAAAAGGAGGAACTGACAAGAGGCAGTGAGGGTGGGATGGAACTGAAACAGCTCAAGGGCATTCTTCTGTCCTGTAAGTACCTGTGCAGCATCCTGACGTCTAGCAGACAGGACACAGTGCTTTATCATTTTGATGGGGAAGGATTCCCTCCTACTCTTTCCGCCCAGGCTCCCCCTCCACCTAAGCTTTCCCGACAGTGAGCAATCAAGAGAAGCCAAGGATACCATCAGGTCTCCCTTGCTCTGAGGGTGTTTTAGGATGCAGGGCAGGTGCAGGAAACATCTATCAAAGCTCTCTCTCAGCTTACGTCACAGCACAGGATCCTCTGCGGGAGAGTCAGAGTCAGAGTCAGAGCCAGAGCTGGGGAGTGGAGGGGTGAGGGGGCAGTACAGGGGCACAATTTAGGAGGGATGGTATGAACAGATCGGAATCGCATTGAAAGAAATAGATCACCGAGGAATTGAAATGGTCTAATGTCATGTGAAAATGAGGTTTACATACAGTATCCATAGGGCATATAGGTACAGAGAATAAAGTTTAAAAGAGAAATGATTAATGAGTACTTTATATAATATATACAGAATCTGAACAGACAGACATAGACAGGCAGGCAGGCAGATAGATTGATTTCAATTCGTCTTCTTTTCTGTGTTCATGCCTACCAGACGTCAAGAAGCTAACTGTCAGAGGATTATAGGATTCTTCAAAGAAATATTTACATCACTATTAGAATTGTATTTTTATACTTATTATATTACTGTACTGACACAAATGAATGAATGATAGTGTATTATATAATATACATGTATATATCTCAAAGTTGGCAATATCACAGTTCTAGTCTTTAGGTAGAAACATTTATAAACTTGAATTGTGATATTAAGTTACTGGCAAATCATATACTGAGAATGGAGAACGAAATGTAAAAGTAAAGCATTGCAATGAATAAATGTTAAATCTGAGAAAGATTACATCATCTTGTCATGAGCTCCACCTAGAATGGAAGAGGGGGGGGCAAGCATTGAAAATTCTATGCAGTTCACTTCTAAGTTCTAACAATTCTCTTCGGAAATCCTTTTCCATTCAGCTGAAACCTGCAGTCCGTTTCTTTCTCCTACGGTGATGGTGTCCAGACCATTTCTCTCTTATTGCAATGAGTGTTATGTTCTTATATACAAAATAGCAAATAAATCGACATTACGTTTTACAAAGTTATCTACAATGCTTGTTATTTTGGAAGACATTCTTGTATCCAAAAGGCATCCAGTTAAAGGAAGAGGAGGTGTTATAGAACTGTACACATCTGGAACTGATAGAATTAAACATGACTGGAAAAGGTATACAGTTCAAGAGATATTTTTGGTATTCTAGAGTTGATTCAGTAATATTCGATTGTATTTACAAGTTACAAATCCCCCCCATCCCCACCCCTCCTTTTTTTAAATTATTTATTTATTTATTTTTACAGAATTAAAAACATCTTAAATGACAAACTGTGTCTGTTCTAGAAAAAGGCTGATCTTTAAAGAATGCAACAGAGCAGTGTGTATTATTTTTTCTATTACATTAATTAGACCAGCATATAGTTGACAAATTGTGCAGTGGCATATTAATTCTTGACACTATATAACGATAAATTGATATTTATGACATTTTCACATCCAAAAACTAGGTTACATTGAGTTGTGATTTTCACCTCCTTGTATTACACCTTGTGTGATGTTACTGTGATATAGGTAGGAAAGGCAATACGGTGTATTGAGGGCTGTGAAAGCTCCTGCTGTTATAACTAACTCAGATTGCAGCTGGACATCTTATATAGTCATATCAGGAATCCCTGTGTATATGCAATCTAAAGTATTGGCAGGGTACCCTTTCTGTACAGCAATGGCTTACTTACATGTAGTTTTAACCCATCAACCCCTGGGGAGGATGGGCTGTCTCACTGAGGTGGTGGTGGGTGCTCAGTCTGATTGCACGGTAATAAAGGATATATCTAGATAATCACAGCCTCTGATGACTGCAAATAGCTACCCCCTTCCGAGATCCATATAAAGGCAAACGGGCAATTTCGACGAGCCTTTGCTTTCAATGTTGGCAGTGGGGTGGGGGCGGGGGCTGATCTCCGTCCTCCCCTTTGCAAATAGTATGGTCCACCCAGGCTCTTCCCTTCTTCTCTGCCCCTCTCTTCCTTCCCCTTCCCTTCTCTCTCCGGCTCTGCTAAGTGTCAGCTGCGGGAACTTGTTGGCAATGCCTAGTCTTCAATCCCCACCAAGGTTTTCCAAAGTAACTATTTAATATCTACAATCTCCAATGGTTTTATTCAATGTAGGATGGGACTTCAGTTGAACGGCAGATATATTATTCTGGTCCTTGCTGTGCAGCTAGGTGAGTGAACTGCATACTGTTAAATGGAACGTGAGATCGAACGTTGGCGAATCTGTCCCTGTAGACGTCTGTCTAGTTTGTAGAATAAATTTACAAAAAAACGCAGGAGAATTAATAAGGATTGGATTTTATAGTCCTGGTAAAATGGGATTTGTATGAAGAACTCGGTTTCCATTGTAAATCTGAGACATATTGCATTATGTAGCGTGAATTCTTCATTGCTTGCTTTAAATCTGCTTGGTGTATCTTAAAATGCTTGAAACCAAAACAAATAATCTGAGTGCATGCACTGGGTGCAGGTTAAAAAACAACAGACCTTCCTAATACTGTAACTAAATCCGTGCAGATCTAATGGAAACAGGCAGTCATTACATTTGTGTAGATCTAAAGGAAATGGGGAATGGTTTACATGCATGAATTTCTAAAGAAAAATACAAATTCATGACAAATTCATGAATACAGATCTGTGGGAAATATGCAATCATTTAATTCATATAGAGCTAAAGGAAATATGCATCGGTGCAACTCATGCTGATCTAAAGGAAATATGCAAAAAAAATAAAAAAAAATCTAATGAAAGTATGAAAGCTAATATAAAAAAAAAAGAAACAATTTGTAGTATTGTATTTTTATAGCACAACATAGACTCACTCAGCTAGAAATATATAGCTTTTTCGTGTGCCGAGAATCCGTTTATTCTGTGTGCTGCAAAACAACCGACTGTCCTAAATTACACCAGTTGTAGTGTCATTTTAAATGAAAGAAAATCAAATGAAAAAAAAATGTATATTATATCTAATTAAATAAAAGCTTGAAAGGATCTCGTTTTTGTTTTCTTCTGTTAGGTCTTATATTTGTAAGGTTAATTAAAAAATATCGTATGCTGGAATGAATTTTTGGTGCATTAAGAAGTAAAAGTAGATAGACAAACAGACAGACAGATTTTCCATAGAATTTGAATGCAATAATTTGTTAGGTTTTATTTTGTATTTGCTGTGTTTATGTCATTTGACCTGTGTGTACAGACTGGTATAAGGATTATAGTACGGTTTATGAATGGGCATAGTCAGATCTTATTAGTTTTCTTCCATACAGAGTGACTATGCCTTTAAAAACACTGCTCATACTTCAGTGTAGGCTATTCACTGCGACAGTAGCTGCTGGAACCCGCTATCCTTGGCACCTCTCCTCTCTAACCCTGTGACAAATGGGCCCCAGTGACAGAAGCTCTCACACTTACTAAGTACAACAATACACTTATCTGGCTGAGGAACCTGCAGGATCTTGTCTGAATTCAGTGTGTTGCCACACAGCTCTGTACATCCTTGTTGCCCAGCTGACAGAATAGAAAATATTCAATTAGCACTTCCACTAAAAAAAAAAAAAAAAAGTATACAAATGAAGACATGCAATTAACACAGCTCTGGTGCTTAACAAGGTAGAATCCCAGAGAATAATCCCAGCTAATGAAAGCATGGATAATAAGTGAGGAAGAATAGCTCCTTTTCCCACTTCAAGTGACTATAGATACTGTAGATGCTATTGGCTGTGAAGAAAGTATCTGGTTTTTATTCTCATCTGTACAATTCCTGTACCCTTGTGACTTTGATCTGAGGCGTTAAAATTGACTTTACACCAGTAATGGCATTAGTGACTATACAGGAAGTCAGCAACACATCTGAGAGAGCTTGTTAATTATAAAAAAAAAAAGGATGTCTGCATCTACAAGACAGTCTTATTATCTCAATACAGGGCTCACATTCTGACATGTCAATGGATTTCATTTACTGCAGGGACTTTGTTTATTCATTTTATTGCATTTTAAATCTCTCCATTTTGATGAGTTTTGCTTAATGAAACTGAGTATTGTGCATATAAGATTGAAAATAGTGTCTCTTTTTTTTTTTTTTTTTAAATAAATGCATTTTTTTCGAACTATGCTTGACATGAGCAAGAATTAATTTATTTATGGATATAAATATTATAATATTAAAAACATGTCTATACTAGGAAAAAAAATTATAATTTTAAATAGGTTTTCAATTAGAAAAATTCACAAATATATTTGTGTATACTTACCACACTTTTGAGAAGAAGAAAAAAAAATCTATCTATATATATATATATATATATTATATATATATATCAATTATAAAACTATACATACATTCTAACAAGTATCTAACAGTAATATAAATACATATCGATGCAAATTCCCCATTCTAGAACATATGATCTTCAATGCTCTAGATTAAAAAACAATATATTTACATCCCCTCCCCTCCCAGAACACATATGCATACCCTTAAAAAAGGACCCTGCGGTATACAAAGCACACATGGGTGAACATGGGGTACACTGGGGTAACTACACAAGGGTGCATTATAATTTTCGACATAATTTGTAAAACGATTGAGGTGCTTTAGAGGGTGTGTTCATCGCTGTGCTTTCTGGATACAAATCTATAGCATGATTGTCTGGTAATTATTCTGCAAAGTTATATTCCGTGTTGTTTTATCATATTATAGTATTTGAAGATGCATGAATTGATTTCATGGTGTTATGATGTATTGGGGCAACTCGTTGGTTAAAAAAAAATCCTTTGGCAAATAGATATTTTGTTAAGTAGGTTTTGCTAGACTGTTACTGTTGACTGGCTCAGATCTCACCCAGAGCAGATTCTTTTTCCCTAGAAGAGTTCTGCTTGGCAGATATATCTTGTAGCATTATGGCTCTTTTCGTTATCAAGTGTGTGGGGTGTAGTTGAACCTGTGACAGCTTTGAATGCTGTTTGTCAGGAGACATTTGCGAATTCATTAACTATTTCATTCATAGTCTGGAGGAGTATAGAGCAACCTCTTCATTCATGGGTATAGTGCGTTTAAATGTCCTGATTGGCAAGAGAAGAGAATCAGAGCTCAGAAGAGTTAATTCATGCAGTGGCACTCACCTCCTGTATTTATTGTAAGAAACATGTCTGCCACAAGGCTGCACATGCGCAGATAATGCAGAAACATTTTGTAGCAGTGATCATTTGTGCAGATAAGACAATGGTGTAAGAGCAGTTGGTGTCTATAAAAAATAGTGTGTTTATGTGGAGTTATAATCACTTGCTCTTGACTTGCTGGCCCTGGGCTAATGGTTTTATATATATTATAGTTTCCACTCCACCTACAGTAGTGTAATTCATTTGGAAGCATGGGAGTGGGGGTGGGGGGATTTGGGACTACCTTGACTTTAGAGTAAAAACCAATGCAAGAGGGTGGATCTCAGAGTACTGCAGATTCCTTTCTCTTAATTCATACATAGTAAGTGGGTGTCACCTTTCAATCTGACATCTCTCTCTTTTTTAATCAATTATCTATGTGCTATGCACCATGATTTAATAAGAAGAAGATCTTTAGGTGGATTTTAGTTGTGACTTCCTTGATCTGAATATTTCTGGGGATAGAGGGAAACAGGTTATATATTATTTCTAAGGCTAAATTTGAAACTCAAATGAGTGAGTTAATAACTTCCATTTTCTGACAAAATAAAAATAAACACAAACTATATTTTAACCTGAATGATGAAAAACACAAATCACTAAAATACAAACGACTTATCAACGACTTGTTTTACATAGTGTGTGTGTAATTTTCTAATTAGATAACAATTCCCTGGCACTCATGTAGATAAATTAAATGCTTTAAATGCACCATTTTCTATACAACATTCGTTTAATTTCAATCCACTAAACAGCAAGTAGTGAAATTATAAACAGCAAATTGTATGTCAAAATAATCTAACAAAAATAATGTCCCACTACCAGTCTTTATGTGGTCAAATCACTGTTTAGTGAATAAACCCTGAGGGTTTTTGTTTTTTTCACAGACTGGCCCTATGGACGCCTTTCCCACTCTAAAAACAAAAGTCAGGAAATATATGAAATACTTAACCTTTTACCCATCTGTGTTTGATCTGCCCTGTGCTCTTTTTATAAAAGATGCTGGAAAATCATGTGGTAATGCACACATGCATTTTTAATGCTAACGCTCCATCACTTACAACACTCGTTAAAAAAAAAAAGTGCTTGGAAAGAAAAATATATCAACAAATAACACAACAATAAAGATCTAACATTTAGAGTGCCAGAGAGCTTTCCCTCTGATAATGGCTATTGACAGTATGCAGGTGCCATGATATAGCAAAGTAAGATTTTGTTGCTTTATCTAATCAGACACAATGCACCTGTAGGCTGGCTTAGTGTCATGGGAGTGGTAGACCATAAAGTAAATCAGTCGTCCACATATCTGCTGAATACTCTGCATCTGCACTCAGGTGATATGTGAGTCTAATATGCAGAGCAGGCATGCAATGCAGATGGCTTACATCCTAGTCTAGAAAATGGTAACCAGTTCTTACGTGGCATACAGTTTGATCACTGCAGTATGTATGCTGTTACATTGAAATTATCTCCATCCCTCTGGAAACCAATAGAATGTTACGTCTCTAACTGTGCAATATCCGAAATAAGCTCTTAATAGAAAACTCTTTTAACAGCGACTTGGGAAACATAAAACAAAAACAACAACAACAAAAAATGGTTTAATTTCACTGAAACAAAAAATATATATATATAATAAAAAACAGTTTTAATCTTCCTTTCTTAACAGTTATTTAATTTGGTGGAGAAGGTGCTATTTTATCCTTGTCTGGTGTATTGAACTGTAACTGTGTGTACTTATTTTTATTTTTAAGGTCTAAGAATGTTTTATCATATTGTTTGCATTTTTGTAGTGGATTTAAATGGTTACAGTTTAACAATTTATGTATCACTTCTGTCATTTTTGTCCCCATAGACCCTGGAAGATACGAGATAAAAAGTCCCACTCTTCTATAAGAGTTTTCAAAGTAGTACACACATAACATATATTCAGATATCGACTTTCTGTCTGTGTACACATTTAGCCACCCCTACTAGAAGCATTGACTGTAAAATGTATATGTTTTGAAGTCCATCCGCTTAAGAGGGAGTTTTGGTCGGTATTTTGATCAAATCACCACAGTAAACCATTAGCTATTCAATTGAGCTAACAATTCACTTATTAAACACCCTTCGAGTATTTTTATTGTGCTTTAATGTTGCATTCTTGATATGATAAAGAGAACATGCAGAATTGTTTGGAACTAAACCATTTCATGCTCTGAAATACTTAAAGTAAAAACTATGCTGAAACAATTGCAGTGACAGATACAAAGAATACAGAATTGACTATGCCTAAGGTTTTATTCACTAAACAGCGATTATTCTTTTTTTTGTGATTCCAAATTCTAATTACCAAACTGAAGCCAAAATAGCTGATATTAATTTTTTTTTACATATTTACTAAGTTTAGCAATTCGGTCATTACACTTTACTGTTAAGTAAATAAAACTGCTAGATTTAACTTGATTTACAGTTTCTGCATTTTATAATGGAATATATGTAAAATGTTAATGTGTAGGCCAGGGGTAGGCAACTTCAGTTGTGGACTACAACTACCATGATGCTTTGCCAGCATTATGGCTGTATTCGCATTAACGGGAGATGTAGTTCACATCTGGTTGCCTGCCCCTGGTGTTGGCTTTACTGGGAGCTGTCCTTCTGATGTGGTGCTGATCTGTGTCCCCAGCTTACCTGGTGCAGGCTGTAAGGTCAGCAGGGAAGTGCGATGCGCTCTTTGAGGGATTCTCCAATTGTATGATCACCATGGGCAAGCAAGTGGAAAGCTTTTCACAAGGCCTCGACCAAGAAAAAGACATCAATACTGTTTGCACGTAAGCCTCTCTGATTTTCAGTTTACTGTTGTTGTTGTTGTTGTTGTTGGACAGGGTGTACTAACAGCTGATATGGTTTACCTTGATAACCATGGCTAAGCTTGGCATCCCAGATGTTTGTGAATACTAAGGCTGGCTGAGCGTGATGATGAATGCATATCACAAACCTCTGGTGTGCCAAGGTTAACCATCACTGCCTTGGAGGGCCCTGTATTCCACCACTGGTGGCTGTCCTTGGTACTGCAGGAGCTTGTGAATTATATTTCTGCAATGCCAATGATAACCATGGCAGGGGCCCTAAACCTTTCACATTTCATGAATTATCTTGATACCTGGGTATGAAAGGTACGTACACAACAAAATGGCCTCTCTCACCCTAAATTCCATGTTTTCCTTGGACCATACAGCCTGCTTACAATTTCGATCCAGCTGTATGGATTTCATACACTAATATACAACAAAGCACTCGATACATTTTAAACAAGACTATGCTCTGGAACACGTGGAATATGTGGTAACATAAAATGGAGTGCAGTCAATATTTGTTTGCAGATAGTTTGCAAATATATTGAAGGCATGTTGCAATCATGTTTGAGTGTTTTCAAGTGGCAATACTGTTTGTAGCTCAGAAAAATTGATATGTTTATACTAAGCAGAAGAACCTCAGCAGCTGCTTTTACGAACTAGTTGTGTATTTGTGTTTATTATGTGTGTGTTTGTGTGTGTTTGTGTGTGTGTGTGTGTGTGTGTGTGTGTAGAAGGGTGCATGTGTGTATATTATTGTGTGTATATATGTTTATGTTTGTTGGTATGTATGTATGTGTGTGTGTGTGTGTTGTATATGTGGGTGTGCATATGTGACTGTATTTGAGTGTCTGTGCGTATATGTGTGAGTTTATCTGCACGTGTATCTACATCACAATGCAGACATCTATGTCACCAGAACATAACCTAGTAAGCATGCTTTGCCCTACATTAATTTATAGTACAACTCCCATTCAACATCACCCACCAGTACTATTTATTTACCTAGTACAACTAACGATATGTCAGCCTGTTTTGATATGATATGATTGATTAATATAATAATAATAATAATAATAATAATAATAATAATAATAATTACACTGCTCTATTAGTATGCTGGATCTCTTCAATCCCATTTTTTGAGACTTTGTCAATGTAAAGTTGATAAAAATGCATCTGAATCAAAGCGTATTTGTACGTGAATTTTACACTTAAAGATATATTCAAACAGCCAGGATGAAAAAAATATTTTATAATGATTACAAAATATTAATAAAAGAAAATATATGATTCCTATGGAATCCCTGAAGATCACGATCATTCGATGGATATATGTATATTTAACTTCGCATAAGTAAAAAAGTATAAATTTTATGTTGCCAATTAGAAATAAAAACAAACTTATATAGAGACCTTTTATAAGATAACCTGATTGTGTTAAATGGATTCTATGGCTGTCAAAAACAATTTCAACTACATGAAAATTAAAGAGCCAGGTATTTTTTTTACTAAAGTTTTTAGAAGAATTAACTAAATTGCACATTTTGGTGAGTTACATAGTTTAACTGGAAAAGCTGAATTGTAATAAAGCAGACTTTGCTGGTTTATTCACTAAACATGGAAGTGAATTGAAGATCGAAATGCAAAATGTAATCAAAAATACCTGATTTTAACAATTGTTCACTTATACTGCGCTTAAGTCGTATTTTAGTTTATTTTTGTCTAAATGTTGCCATTTTGACTTTTAATTAATGCAGTTTTAGAATTCAGCAAATAAATTCTTGCTTAGTTGTGTTTTCCCTCCTATTCTGACTATTTTGGCCAAATGTTTATAAATAAACTCGCCCAAACTAATTGTTCACCGAATAGCTCCTTAATGGCAAAGCAAACTCATGTATATACAAACAATTATGTAATATTTCTTCAAAATGTAAACGTGTAATGATTTTTTTTAGATATATGTATATATTATATGTATAGAGACATACATATTCATTTGTAGCTGTCAAATTAAAGCATTTAGGTTCTCTAAATGTCATTAAATTTTATATATATATCCCTCCAAAAAAACACATACCCCAAAAAGTCGAACAGTATGTAGATAGCATTAATTTCTAAAGAACAGGTAAGATACATTGTTTTCTTTTCTTTGACCGTGGAAAAAGGTTTATTGATGTGGCTTTCTAGTGGGGAGTGCGATTACAGTTGTGATATCGTGAGATAGATGCTTTGGGTATTTCTGGCATCTTAATATCTCATTATTTATTACGAAATCACCAACAATGGAGTTTACAACAAGCTTTGAGTGCTCATAAATTAGATTCTGTAGGACCACTTTAGAACACAACATACAGGCGCCTGTCTGGCAAGTAATGTGCAGATAGCTATCCTTCGTCAGTCATTTCATACAGCATAGAGAGGGCAGGGTGACAAGGGAACACAGATACACGTGTCACATGAGAGATCAAGAGATAAAGGGAGGCACCAGCTTTAAATGTGTCCTCCCCAAGGGATTTAACACTTGCATATCAATGATGCTTGAAGATGTATTGCTTTTGGAATAGAAAGCTCCACCGGTGGCATTTGACGGGGGGCTTTTAAATCTCAATTGTTATGAACCTCAGAGACGGATAAAATTATATAAGGAATGGCAGTGACCATGACACAATATGGCATGCAGTAAAAGAATCGATATGGTATATCTGTATGGCACAGATTAATCCATCAATCGTTTTTATATGCACACATGATATTTTATTCCTTTGTCAGCACTGCACACCGTCTCTGCACGTATGTTTATGGGTATGCTTGTGTGTGTTTGTGTGTGTGTGTGTGTGTGTATGTATGTGTGTGTATATATATATATATATATATATATATATATATATATATACATATACACAAATATGTATTTGTACTTGGATATTGCGTATTTTTTTATTCTGTTTGATAGCTCAACAAATGAATTATGAATATACAGAAAATAACCTAGATCACTGATTAACTGAGGATTTTAAAGCACGAATGGTGTATTATACTTTATACCTATGCATGTATATATCCCAGTAAATATAAATATAATGTATAAATACTTTATATACACTATACAAATATAGATACGTGTTGTGGTATATTTGTATACATTGTAGAATATCTCTGTACACTATACAAATATGGATACATGTGCTGTGGTATATTTGTATACATTGTAGAATATCTCTGTACACTATACAAATATGGATACATGTGTTGTGGTATATCTATATACATTGTAGAATATCTCTGTACACTATACAAATATGGATACATGTGTTGTGGTATATCTATATACATTGTAGAATATCTCTGTACACTATACAAATATGGATACATGTGTTGTGGTATATTTGTATACATTGTAGAATATCTCTGTACACTATACAAATATGGATACATGTGTTGTGGTATATCTATATACATTGTAGAATATCTCCGTACACTATACAAACAAAGATACATGTGTTGTGGTATATTTGTATACATTGTAGAATATCTCTGTACACTATACAAATATGGATACATGTGCTGTGGTATATTTGTATACATTGTAGAATATCTCTGTACACTATACAAATATGGATACATGTGTTGTGGTATATTTGTATACATTGTAGAATATCTCTGTACACTATACAAATATAGATACATGTGTTGTTTAATGTTTATATATATATTGTAGGTTGTGATATGTATCCCTATACACCTTGCTCTTGGCAGTAACTGATGGGGTGAATGACTGAAGTTTAGGATGTAACTAACTTTCCTATTGATCCCTCCCAGATACTGGAATGAATTCCACGCCTGTGCTGTCACGGTGATTGCAGACTGCCAGGATAATGCAGCAGAGATTTGGGATAAACTGAAAATGGATTCCAAAAACCTCGACATTAAAGGCAGCTTGTTCCAACTGTGTAGTGGATCTAATGGCTCAGCCAACTCCAGACCCTTACTACCTGCCGTCCTGCCTTTACTCATGGTGTCTCTCTCTGCTCTACTGACGTGGATCTTCAACTAGACCCAAAGCTTCAGGAATCCACCATTACAATGTCCACCTGCTCGATTTCTAGAGGAAATATCTGTCAGTACTTTGGGGGACCTAGTCATTCTTCTTGACGCTGAAAATAACCGTCTAGGATTGTGGAAAAGAAAAAATATATGTTTTTTTATTATTATTAATTTTCCTTTATTTATTTTTTTATTTTTTTGCCAAATATTACCAAACAGTGAGCAACAACAGCCAAAACCGGACCTCAGCTTTACATCTTCAAATGGAAAAAAAAAGAGAAAACAGAGCCCTGTTTCAGCTTCCTTTCTTGTTTTTTTTTTTATTTTAATTTTTTAATTTTTTTCCTTTTAATTTTTTTCTTCTTTAAAATAAACTCAGGAAAGGCCCTGGGCCAAGTAATAATAATAATAATAATAATAATATTAACAATAATAATAACAATTCTGAGGAAGATATGGGAGTTGGGCTCATCTCAGAACAAAGCTCCAACCTAGAGAACAAGCCAAGGGATCTCTTCTACATACACAATGTACTGTAGATATTCACTTGTCAACCACCAGTGGTCCATTCCATCTTCTAATGTTCTCCACCAGACCCTAGAGCCATCTTTTCCTCATCAGCAAATACTTATGTAACCAAGAAAAAAGGATAGCTCAGAACACAGCAATGAAAAAAATAAACTTGTACATAAGGAAGGAGAACACCTATAGATTAGTATACATTTGAATGAATGGGGTGGTTGGATGAAATTCTGAATGGGTAAGTATGATGGATGGATTGCTGAGGGATATTAGCTTTATCTGCTGTTGCCAAGATATAATTTCATGTCACTGCCTTTATTTATCTTTTCTTGGTTTAGATGTTACACATAATTACCTAAGTATCCCACAGTGTAAACCACAAATGGGGGAAATTAAATGTAAAACCGTACAATAGTTATATGTAAAGCTAAAAATTATACAAAGTAAAAAGATTTTGACTAAATAAAAAAAGAGAGCCTTGATTTTAAAATAAATAAATGTAATTTAAAAAAAATAAAGTTTATTATAAGCTCAAATCAGCAAAAAATATTTGCTACAAAGTATAGTAAAAAGAGTATTAAATAAAATTATTGTTTCAAAAATGTGTGCCGATGATCATTTAATTGTATATATTTTGTGTTTTTCTTCTTTCTTAGATGAAAATAGAAATGATCAATATTATTTTTAAACAATATTAACTGTTCACATTTTCATCGACATATATAACAGAAATGATTAATGTTTGGCAAGCATTGTTGCTCCTTAAATATATTTTTGGAAAGTAATAATATATGTTTATGCAGCCTTGTGGTTTTATTCAGTAAAAGAGAGAGGCTTGAAAAAAATGAAAAAAATAAAAAATAAAATAGACTTTAAACAAAATATTACATGCAAACCAAACGAAGATTATTTTCTTTTTACATCTTTGCCTTTTTTTTTGTCTGCAAATCATTTGCAATTTGTTCACTAAACATAGAAATGAAAACTGCACAATTTAGGCTACATAGCCAAGCTTTGACTATAGCTGAGACAGATAATTATTTTTTCAAATTAGCTATTTTCCTAAATCTTTTAATTCAGATTTTTTTTAAATTCAGTGTTTAGTGAATAAACTCCATATATGTGTCACAAAGTACTCAATGTGAGCACAGAGCTACGATTTAGGATTCTGTGATACAACCTTAGTTTCAACCTGCTTATCAAATCTCTATCATACAAAGGGAGGCAGCTTTTGTTGAACAAAAGGTCGCTACTATTAAGTTTGTACAGGGGCATAGGAAGCATCCTGTTCTTGAGATCAGATGAATCGTCTCATAATTAATAAGACACCTCAGCTGAATTTGCGAGGAGACTGGGCCTATTGATTTAGCAGAAAAAAAACAATCCTCTAACCTTTTCTGTTTGCAACCTCTTGATGTCTTCAGTAAGTATACTTGTCTGTATGTGCATTCAAAGCAACAACCCTTTATACATCCATGTTATAAAAGACATCATTAGGACACACACAGTAGAATATCATCTGATCATCTGCAATATGTGCAGTGTACCTTTGCTAAAATCCATTAGATGTTCAAATGCAGTATGCCCATTAACTCCTTAACTTCATAGCCTGCTCTCAAAAGCTGCCCCATTGTCTCTCAGTAGATACAGTGTAATGTGTAAGCACTCAACAATGCGCCATAGAAGACATCATCAAATGCAGGCAGAGTACAGTTCAATACGCATTTCCCCTGAGTTTCTCATTGTAGAAATATGAGCAAGGCTCTCAGTGCAACTTAAAAAAAAAAAAGACATTAGGAAATACTCAGAGAACAGTGCAGCATCCGGCTCCACACATAAGGAGATTAGTGAGCCATGCCCTAAATTTCTGGGTGACCTTTTAAAATGTATCCGTGGATTTAGTACATTCTGTGCATGATTAGAACAATTGGGAAACATTTTTTTAAATGATTGTTTTATATATTTATATATATATATATATATATATATATATATATATATATATATATATATATATATAGTACTGTTATATTCTTTTATTATATCACAGTATTTATTTGTTATATATATATATATATATATATATATATAATACTTATATTCTATTATTTATTTTTTAAATATATACAGCACACACATACACACATATAATGATATATTTATTATATTTATATTATTATTTCTTATATTGTATCGTCCTGTTATTTTTACAATTATTCTTTTTTAGCATAAATCATATAGTGCATATATTTTAATTGTGCCATTAGCTCTATATTCGGCAATAATACAGTTGCTGTGTTGGGTTGTCATTTTGTCACTGCTGTGTGTAATGTATACATAACATTTACTTTTTTTTTGTCGAATGGCAACTCCCATGACGCTCGGCCAGCCATGATGGGGGTTGCAGTTCTACGGCCCTTTCTCTAGACCCTCACATGACTTTTTTTAACCCTTCCACGTGTGAGGGTGCTGTGAAAGTGTTAATGATGGAGCGGTTTCTGAACAGACTGTAGTGAAAGCTGTTTGCTTTGAGGTCACGTGATCCACTATTCCCCATTCTCCTGCATTAATGATAGTCTGGCAACTAAATATAGCACAGAGACAGGGATGCTGAAATTTCACATACAGCACCTTGTGAAGATAAAAACTGCAAGGCTAGGAATGGAGAAATTCTGCAAACTGTATATTAGGGAAAACAATCTAAATATACACACTATTCTTGCTTTGTTTTTTTAATTGAAGGTTTGTATAGTGTTTCTTTCATTTTATTTTAATTATTATTATTATTATTTTTTATTTTTTTTTGGCTGTAATATCCATCTTGTTAGCTTTTTCTGATAGGAAAAAAAATCTGTCCAGTGGGAGCTGTATTCTCCTGGGAAATCTTCTCGTCGTGTTAGTACAGAGTCATGCAGATGTGGCCCTCATTATTACCAGCAGCGAGATCCACTGTCACAGAGAGGAGGGATTTCAAAGAACTCTGCGATGCTTTGTTGTTTTTCCATAAGGGGCCAGGAATATAGGCTTCGATTAGGAACATTCTTTCTGTTTTATCATTTAACACAGTTAGTGTTGCTATAGTTTCCAAAGCTGCACAGTTCATTCCTGTGTGAACCACATAGGTAGAGTAATTATAATGGTAGACCCTAATATTTATTTGATACTCCAACATGAATTTTGTTTTACGTTTATCAGAGAACATATTTTTTTCATTTATTTTGAATTACCACCTAAACACAGAACAAAAGTAACTAAACGAAGTAAAGTAAGAAAATTATCGAAACATAGTAACTAAAACAATGACGACAAAACCCTATATGTTAGCTCTAAAGATAACCAGCTGCATAGAAACATAGTTATTTTTCATTTTAATGTTTTCAGCCACATATTATGCTAATACAATCTATCTATTCTATCTAATCTGTCTATCTATCTATCTATCTATCTATCTATCTATCTATCTGTCTGTCTGTCTGTCTGTCTGTCTGTCTGTCTGTCTGTCTCTCTGTCTGTCTGTCTATCTATCTATCTATCTATCTATCCTATCTAATCTGTCTATGTATCTAGTCTATCTAATCTATCTATCTATCTATCTATCTATCTATCTATCTATCATCGAAACATAGTAACTAAAACAATGACGACATAACCCTATATGTTAGCTCTAAAGATAACCAGCTGCATAGAAACATAGTTATTTTTCATTTTAATTTTTTCAGCCACATATTATGCTAATACAATCTATCTATTCCATCAAATCTGTCTATCTATTTATCTATCTATCTGTCTGTCTGTCTGTCTATCTATTCTATCTATTCTATCTATCCATCAAGTCTAGCTAATCTATCTATCTGTCTGTCTGTCTGTCTGTCTGTCTGTCTATCTATCTATCTATCTATCTATCCTATCTATCTATGTATCTGTCTGTCTGTCTGTCTATTCTATTTTCATCTGTCTGTTCTATCTAATCTGTCCTTTTCTTGGACGCTAATTTGGAATATAGCATGATTGTGTAAGCTGCATTCAGAAGTATTTGTGCTAAAAAAAATATCCCAGAGATGTCAGATGCAAACTATATGATTCCAATATTTATTATTCACTAAATCGCATCTAATGTGTTACCCCGTTATATCCTATTGGAGACAAATGTGGAAATGTAATTTATCCCAGTCAGTCATGTTTGCTGGTTATCTACTAAATTGTGAAACTTGGACAAGGGAAAATTAAATTGCACATTTAACAGTAAAACAGACAGAATCCTTTCAAAAGTGCCTAACTCAGTTATTTTTAGAGCTCCAAATTTGGCCCCACATTTGCAGTTTTGTTGCCCATTTTGCACAATTTCCAGTTTAGTGAATATATATAATTTAGTCCAGACTTTCTATGGCTGTCCAATCACAGACTTCCCAATGCAGCTCAATGAGAAGTCTTTGCAAAGCAGGTGCTCTGGGTATTTGAGGCCTCTTGAGTTTAGCTCCACTGAGCTAACCAAACCAGTAACAAGAGCTGTTGTCTGAGTGACAGCCAGGGGAGTGTTATCAGGTTAATTTACAAATGTGTCTAAAAAGAAGACATGCTCTTCACACATAAATCACTTCTGCAAGGTAAAGTGCTTTATGTGTCTGGAGTTTCCCTTTAACGTATAAAGCAGATATGTGTATACATGTGGCTGCATATTGGGTATGAGAAAGTTTGTAATGCCCAAGTTCCCCCATTAAATGGTCTTATCTGCCTCCCCACCTATTAGAGACATTTTTGTGTTAGTTTAGGTTAATTCATCTGATTACAGATGATATCATGAACATTGACCACCTATTGATATACCAGGTTATCAGTAGAGGAAAATTATTGGTATTTTCTCCCTCATTTCTGAAGTTTTTCTTTCCTATGTGAAGTTTTTTTGAAAAATTAAAAAAACAAAAAATAACCCACATTGTCAAGTTTTAGTGTATTTGTTGAATACTAATTAAATATCCATTGTGACTAAATGTTCAATAGCTGCCCACTGTAAAAATATGGTCTGTGGACACATGTGGAAGAACATAGCCAATAGACTTGTGCATAAATGCTTTTCAGCAAATCAAATGCCATTTCAATCTGTGCCTGAACAAACTGATCTGTCCAAAGTCGAGTCGTACAGGCACAGGATAAAAGCCAATTGATTAGTTCGTACCAGTAGAAAAAGCTTTGCACACAGTCTTACTTAGGCCTTGATTTAATATTTTTGGATAGGTTTTTCAAATGTTTTTTCAAAAGATTAAAATATAAAAAAAATGGCTTTGAAAATATTAAATCAATGCCTCATTTCTTTATTGTGAGGCTAGTTATAGAATTGCAACACTTTGGGGGGTATGTATATGTATAAAGTGTTTTGTTCTGAAAAGTGGTTTTAAAGTATTAATAGTGGGTCAGTCACCATAGAAACCAAGGAAAAACAGCAGGCACATTGCATTGGTAATTCTGCCCTGTTTCCATGTTTGCACTAGACTTGTGCATTTGGATTTATCACAAATTGCAACTTGTGCAAATTTGGGCCAAAAAGTCATATGGACCTAAAACCGAGCAAAAGACTAGCATGATTCCGTATGTTGGGTTTTGCCTGTGCCACCAAAGAAAATAAATGAAGAAGCAATGATTAATGGGAAAAAAAGATGATGGAATGCTAGGGATCAACAGTTAAATTTTACTTTTTTTATATCAAGTGAGCAGTGAGGAAAAAAAGAAAAAACAATATAAATATAGATTGAATTTACTGCATCGCCTCTTTTTCTATCTATTGGTCACTTTTTCTCACTTGATCTGTAAAACAAATGAGGGCAAAACAAGCCAATCAGGGTACTAAAATGTATGCATATTTATATTATTCCATGCCCTTTTTGGTTTGTCTGAGTTTTTTCTGAATATTATTCCAGAACCGAACTGTTACATGAACTAGCATTGGACATCCTGAACATTTTGGGCTTAAATTATTTTTCTGAGCCAAATCTTCCTGATTTGCATAAGTCTAGTGTGCATCACTTATCAGAACAGACACTTTTTATTCATAACCCCTTTATTCTCAAACAGTTCCTTAGTTATTTTTCCTAATCTGAGCGGTAATTGTAACCGTTCACACCATGTTCCCATCAATTCACACAGCTTTTGATTTGGAGGTCAATTTCAGTGATAAGAAAATGTGTTAATTGAATATGATTTTAAGCCTCCCAATTGCCCATAGTGCAAAAAAATGCTCCCAAGTTCCCAGAATTTTCCCTAAGAAAAGATACACTTCGCACTAGAATTAGTACCTTGATGTTTTAATTCAACCAGATACGATTATATTTCTTATTGGTTATATTCCAAACTTTTTTTTCCACTTGTGTATTTGTGAAAAAAACAAAAACATAGATAAACTGCTGCCTTATTTGTATATTTTTGAATGTGTCTTCTTTAGTAATGATGTATGTTGTCACTATTCATAAGTGCCATAACTTACATTTATAATTTGAATGTAGCAAATATATTTAGCTTGACCTCTTCACTACACCAGTTGTGCATACACAATTCCCAGAGTAGATTTGCATACCCTGAAATCGTCTATACACAATTTTGACAATTGCAAATGAAATTTAAATTTAGTTTGCAAACTCTGACCATACAGTAGAGCCTGAGCTACCATTATAATGCTGGCTTTGCTAAGCCCCCTGTAGCAGCCTGGGCCAGTGTGGAGTTCTTTAGATTTCTCTGCCCAGGATCAGGTATGTATCTCTGGCTGGGAGGAGAGCACGGCCAATGCTCCCTCCTGGTCTCAGACCTGAAGGAAGCAATGAAAGGGGATCTGTACCTAGCCCAATGGACCACCAGGGAGTCCTA